TGTTGTCCTTACCGGGGAGCAGCGCACTTCACCCGGATGGTGTAGTGGTGAAGTGCGCTGCTCCCCGGTAAGGACAACAGCGCGCGTTCGTTCACCACTGCATACACCTGTGGTCCGGAGTTTTGCAAATATCTCAGCATCTCACACGAGTTATATTTCGCAACATGACCTGCCATTGAGAAGAAAAAAGCAGTAAACAAAAGAGTTAACATTTCTTATTCTCAATCGTATTTAGCGCGACAAGGCTTAAGAGATATAATGTTCTCCAAGTCTTACTAAGGTAAATCACAGTGAAGAGCGCCCTATGCTTTCCTAAGAGGAAATACCTACACTCCTTACCTACAACCGTTTCGCCCCACCCTAACACGTTATGCTGATTTCAGCACTTCTTCCACTCGTCTTGTTGCCCTGTAACTATCATCTAAAATCAATGCTCCGGCTCACGTGCCGATTTGGATGCAGCTGGAGATGTGCGGAATTCTCTCTGAAGTATCAAGATAGATGAGCTGGGTATTCTCAAGTAGTCACTATACGCAGTTTTTCACCTTTGAGGGTCACAGAGGAGATTGTTATCTTGCGATTAGTATTCTTCCAGGACTGAAGCGATAGCTGCGATGGAAACAAATCAAGGAAAGCCAAGCTACCAATGTGAATAGAATTTCCACGACCACGTGTGATACAGTATCCGCCCGGAGACAAAAATAATAAAAAAAAACCACGAAATAAACACCGAAGAGGAATATGCATCGAAATCAATGCAAGCAATAGTGAATGGGCTAATGTTGTGTATGTAGAACACAGCATTGCCGCTGCTCCAAACGCAAGTAGACAAAAGAAAAGAATAACATGGCAGTCACATACGATCGACAAACTAACTAAGCAAAGAAAAAAGACGCGTATGTATATGGACGACTCCACCATTGTGGTGGCGTTTCGTAGGTAATCCCATATGAGTGCAAAACCATGAACATAGAGGCAAAAAAGAGCAAAGGCATTTAAAAGAAATTCTTACTCTGGTAAAAAAAAACTCGCCAATTACTGTAGTCGCCACTCGACCATCCATGAACACTTTCCGACATGCGTTTCGAACTGTCTCAACGTTAATAGCCTGAACAATAATAAATTACCAATATCTAATTAATTCACATAAGAATTAAGCGAACTGTGTTAATAATTGCTGTCGCATGCTGATTTTTCGACAACAGCTGGTAATTTTCGACTGGAGTAGTTGAGAAGTTCAGAACTTGATAGTCTTATAGAAGGCATTTTTCCTGTAAGTACTACTCAAAAACTTTTCCATCCATGAAATTTCACTGAAAGTAAAATTTCTCATAAAATTCGAAAAAAAGTCCGAACTTTTCTGAATTCCTTACGCAAACCGGAAATGTCAAGGACACATTAGAGGTTGCCCTCGTATCCTGCTAGTCAAATCTGGCTTGCTTAACTGTTTTAACTTGCGAAATACTAGTTTCAACGAGAAAAAAAAACAAGAAAACTCCTCGAAAGTTCCATAAAATCAAGACTTTATTGTGGTCATGTAAGAAAACTTGCATCTTGCTGGTAAGAAATCTTTAGACTCTAGTGATTTTATCTAAATAATAATATATCTCAATAAATGGTTTAAAGTGAAAACCAGTTATTATCTCCCGACCGTATGAATCGAAAACACTTCATGTTGGACTGTAAGTATCAATAATGGTTTTTTTCGAAATGAATAAGCCATAAAGCACCCTCTAGGAGATTAATACATGAAGTATTATAGTTGTCGGTCTTAGTAAATGTATAATGATGAAATGAAAACCTCAATCCGAAGCTCTAATTCTGGTACGGGAATCCTTCGTCCATAGCAAAGCAATTGTCGACCTATATCTTCACAAATAGGCGTTGACCCGTCAAGCATCAGAAGAAGGTTTGTAAGCAGAGTTCGCTTTCCACAATCAACTGACTCAGCATCGACTTCTTTAAGGCGAAGATTTGACTTAGTTTAAAAACATAGAGTCTATTATAATAACAATGAATCAAACTGAAAGGACAAACAGTTAGAAGTTACAAACCACTGGCCAACCAACGCCACTCATCGACAATGGAACCTACAAGAGCTTCTGAGGCTGCCTCTTCTGCTACAAAGTAAACGCCGATAAGACCTGTATCCTAGAATAGAAATGAAGTATCAGCGATACTAAAAGAAATGTTCCATGTCTTTTCACTCCATCAAATTCTCAAATTATGTATCAAGCTGAAAATGAAATGAACAACGAACTTTATAGCAAGTGTTAAACGCTTGAAATGACTGCACACCAGCGTTACGGCCAAGGCGGACAGCCAAACGAGATGGAGCGTTCACTCCGAATCCGCGACTCCTATCCCATTCACCAATAAGCTAAAATGTTTTAATGATTCAGAGAATTGTACATATACATTGCTTATATATATTCATATATACTATATATATATATACATATGCATAGACATATAGTATGTGTGAGGTGCAAGTAGAGCAATGGTAATGATGTCCCTTAATACGCACAAAGACCTGGTTAGACTGCGCCCAGAAGATACAAAGTTTCCATCCCTCTGAAGTCGGGAAATTAGTGCCAGAGTACGCCCTAGTACAGGTACCCAGGATTGCACGGTAAATCTACGGCACCAGCATTCAACGAAATTCGGAAAGAAGAACATAGTCTTCGAGCAACAGCCGAACACTTGCGCAAGGACGAAGACCTTCGTGGATGACGGAAAAGAAATATATATCTGCACATCATCATGTTTGGGGGTTGCTGTTTGTGAGATAAAATACTCAAGTGGAGGAAACACTATTCAGAAGCGAACTAAGTATAGATATAGACCAATGCTGGATAAGCACCCTAGCAGGCCACCCGTTACTATGCTCTCTACAGACACCGTCGCACGAAAAATGTTCTCTCCTTAAGCGAGTGGGATCTCTTGCACTTATGAGAATTGAGTTACGCACAGTGTTCGCCACCATAAGCGCTAAGTTGTCTTCATGAGTCCATGACACTCCTTCGACTACCATGGCACCATAGATCAAGTCCATTCCAACAATTGGTAAATGGATCTGGAAGCATTTTGAGAAAAAGACATGGTGCATAAGAACCGCAACAGCTATACCCACCTCACATGGTTTGAACACTGCTGGATGGAAGTTTGCCGATGCATCGCCGTGCTGAAGGCCTCCGAAATACTTTTCTGCTAGCCCCACAACCTATATGAAATAAGCTGTATTCACACGGATGGGAAAATCAAAGGCAATAAAACATCTTTAATCATACTTCTTTATGATTTACACCACCAGCAGCGCTCAGTACCATTCGTCCTGATCGGTAATGGGTTTGAATGTAGTTAATGAGATCTTCCCGTTTAATTGAACTGGAAGAAATACTAGAGCAGGCCACAAAAAGGTAATCAAACCTTCACTCAAACACTACTCACTTTGTCGACCACAGTGGTACTCTACAATGTAGGAATAAAAGTAAAATAAAGCTAAACTAAATGCTCACTTTATGTTCTCCACCGGTCCCAGGATTGTCATTGATAATGAATTACCTTCAAATGCACCCATGTGGAGATGATCAAAAACCACTTCCTTAAAGCAAAGTAACGCAAATGCATTATGTAAAAACTCAAAGCAGGTGTATCTGCTCTATGATGACAAACTGCAGCCAAGAAAAAGCTAAAACAACACAGACTAACTTGGAAGTTCTGTTCCACCTCCTGCATTTCGCGCAAAATTACACTCCGTTCGGCTTCAATATCTCGAGGACTCAACTTACTATTGAGAAGTATATCCGATAATATATCAACAGCTATAAATTCAGAGTATAAATACCCAACTGAGGACATGATTTACAAGTCTTATAACACCTACAATGTTCCAAATCGGTCGAGAAACATTTAGCATAGTATACAGTTTGTTCTCGCGATGTATAAGCGTTGAGGTGAGCACCGATGTTCTCCACTTCCAGCTCCAGTTCATTTCTCGAACGACGCGAAGTTCCCTAGAGTATATTACAGCTGGCTATTCGAATCTAACTAATAAGAGACAAAAAAATATGCAAACCAGGGGTTAAAAGACAGATATTAAACACCTTCAAAACAAAACTAACACTTAAAGAAAACAAAACGATGGAAGAACTTGAAATATTCGAAAAAAAAGAGGAACCTTAAATGCCATGTGCTCGAGAAAATGTGCGGTTCCATTATTTTTTTCGTTCTCATATCGTGAGCCGGTATCAATCCAAACTCCAATCTACAAAATAGTCCAGAACTAAGAGAACGATGGTGGCCAACTTCACAATTAGTTTCAACTTTACCATTAACTTCAAAACTTTACAACTGTAACTTTGCAATTACATAAATGCGCCAAAGGTGTAAGTCATAGTTCTATATCAACATAACAGATCAAAGCATACAGTGGCGGTGGACATGTTGGTGTCTTCAGTAGCTATACGAAATCCGCTGGGAAGTGTGGTAACAACTGTTTCTGGAAAGAACACTTCACGAACCGCGTTTGTTGCTGATCTCCATCTTCGTAGAGGCTAAAAAATTTTTGACGAACACATAACATGGAACGTGGAAAATTATTACTCAGTACAACAGAAAGTGAGGGCGCGTGTAGCGCAGCGGTCTGAGGCGCCCTGTGATACGCATGGGATCGATCCAACATCTCTAGCTCACCAACCCTTCTGACCGTTGGACGTCGGAAAATTGGTGCTCGACCCATCTGGGAGAATAGCAGCAAGCGAGTCACAACGATGAAGTCGAATGCAAGGCGCATCTCTCAGAAATTGATCAACGCCAAAGGTTTTACCTTTTATAATATAAAGAAATAGGTTAACCACCATCTTATCGTGGCTGGGAGGTGTTACTGGGTGTCGGGCTCCGATTTGCAGCGGAAATTTCTTCCCAATAGGGTGTTCCAAGTTGAGAAGGAATCCGGCGTTTCCATGAAGAAGCCTAGCGAAGAGTAAACCAATGCAGGATCCACCACCGTCCTAGTATCAAATTAGTCGCATGGTGGCAAATCTCCCCCTGATCCACAAAGGCTGCGACTACTTGTGCTGTTGGCGATCTGGGGCAGATTTTAGTTAGGCTGACCGCTGGACTCCAAAAAACCACAGGAGCTAAACCAGCAAAACTTCGAGAAAATGGAAATTAGGCTTAAGCCAGCACCACCAGTGAAGACGGGATCCAACTACTCAAATAAGTATGCAGATGCAGATCCACTTGGAAACGATTTTACCAAGGGTGAGAATCATTGACAGACAAATTTGTTAATGAAGTTCGATTCATGTCCAAGAGCACCATGATTTGATAACGGTCCATCTACCATCCAGGGAGGTTAACACGAAAATTCAGCTGGGAAGTGAACTATGGATTACAGGTACATCGATGATATGCCGGATGGAACGTTTCGACCACACCTTAATTTCGCATTTACTCTGACTTCTTTGGAATTGAAAGTGCTGACTATTAGGGAAGTACGACACCTACTGTCTTAGAGAAATAATACTGTTTAACCCTATACGCTCTAGGAAACATAACAAAGGCTACCAGATCTTCTAAACCTGTCCGATATGCTACGGCATAAGCCAAGTTAATCAAGGATTAGCTAAAGCGAAGACGTTTTAAAATCCCAATCCAAGAAAAAAAGAAAATTTTAACTCTTGAAAACGATGTGTCAAAAGAATAGCACGGCGTCTATTAATGTTCAGGCCCCCTTCGACGTTTGAAGAGAAGACATGACCCTTTTCGTAAAGGTGGAAGCAAGAGAGCAATTACCTTAACTTAAAAGGAAGATGAATGAAGATGACGAAACACAAGATTTCGAAACACACAAACAAGAAAACATCTCCAAAGAACTGAAAAAACCGTACCGTTAGAACTTTGTTGCTCATTACTCGGCTCATGGTTTCTGGACGTCAAGACGATGGAATAACTGGGATGAAGGAGGAAGTGTGGAAGAATCCCGGTTAATTACAGAGCTCAGTTGAGCGAGCCGAGGGCATCAGATTATAAATAGAGCGCGTTATTGTTAAAAAGCTCCGCTTTAAGAGAGGATTTGCTTGGACGTTTGCTTTCGAATTCCAGCTTGATAGTCTCTATGGATTCATCTAGAATCCAGAATTCATTCCTAGTACGATCTATTAACTTGCATCTTACCAATCGATATCGTAGAAGTTTAGGCATTTCTGCTGGCTTGCCTTATAAAATCATGAGAACAATTCTAGCCTCCGTAAAACTTCTGTAATCTTTACTTCTGTTTGAGTCAGGATTTCAGTGACTAGTACGTAATGCCTAAACATGCTCTCCAAACTGCTTTGCTTCATCAAAAGCCTTAGTCCTAAGTATTTACGAATCTGGACTGCTTATTTTTAAGCGCAAAACTAAATTCAAACTAGTACTTTGGTATCCTGCGATTTATGGGTGGCTACATGTGTCATTTGTGGACTCTATTCGTCCACACCGTATTCCAGAGACTTCTCTTCTTCTTCGAGAGAGGAAAATTCTGACGCTTTGTCTGAGAGGAGTTCTAATTTCATCGTATTTAGCAGGAAGAAATCCACGGATTGCTTGTGGTATAGAGTGCCATAACTCCCAACGGTTTATCGCCTCATCGTGGCTAGGAGGCATTACTGGCTGTTGTGCTGCAATGTACAGAGAAGGCGGATTCATCCCACTAGTAAGGCCTCCCAAGCTGAGGAGTTAAGCGTTTCCATAAGGAAGCCCAACTAAGAGTAAACCACTACTAGGATCCGCCACCGTCCTGGTATCAAACCAGTCGCATGATGGCAGATCTTCCTCTAATGCACAAGAGCGGTGACTGCCTATGGTGGTGACGACCTGGGGTAGACTTTGGCTAGGATGACCTCAGGACTTCAGGGAAACACGATGGTTACAGAGCAAAGCTCCAAAAAATTGGAGATTAGGCCTGAACCCGCACAACCAGTGAGGACGGAGCATCCAAGTATCCAAGTATGGAATGGGATGACTGAAGAAACGCAGTGTAGATGGTTCTTCTCAGCTTCTCAATATATTCAGTACTGCCCTCTCATCCTCGTACTGAATTCTAAGCTTAGAAGGAACTCTCAGATGTCCTTCCTTATTTGTGAACTCGGAAGGTAATCCCTTCTACACAAGGCTCAGAAATCTCTTCGTATCTCTATGCTGAGTATTTGGCATCTCGACTTTACGAGTTCAGTTAGGCGATCAGTTCCAAACACCCGAATGGGTCGGAAGTATTACTTAGTAGGTTAGACTGTCGTAGGACTGTTATCTCCTTTAGTTCATTCAAATGATCACTTTGATCGTCGCTAGAGGTTATTGACTCAGATCGATATAAGAAAATCAATCGATATTGGCCAAATGACTAAGATGCAGAGTCGACCTCTAGTACACTACCGCCACCACCCCTGCCACACTGCTGCGCTACCTGCATGGCGACATTTGGACTGGAACTTTCACTCCGTGTAAGGTACATTGAGTTTCAAAATTTACCTTAATTGGTTGTATTTCAAAGCCGGCTTTCCTTTAACCTAGGCATGACTAATCAAAAAGTACAGTTTCTTTAATAAGCGTACACGAGCTTGATAAACAGTGTTTATTCGGCTAACGTTTCGACATCTTCGTCTTCATCAGAGTCGATGATCCCAGTCGATGGTCCACAGATGTTCGTCTTCTCGATGTGATGGATGAAGATGAAGATGTCGATGTGTTAGCCGAACAAAGACTATTTATCAACCTCGTGTTAGCCTATCGATGAAAGAATACATATTTATCAGTCGTGTTCTAAAAGGTAAGAAGCAGCTAGTCTGCACACTTAATTAAAGAGAAATAACTTTCGAGTCCAGACGAGTAACGGATTACTGTTAAGGAAATGTTTAGTGGTAAAAATTCGTCTCTTGTTACTTTTATTTGGCCTGAAAGTTATAGTCAAGCAGATAATGGACAATAAGATAAAGGTGGCTTAGCATTTTTAAATGGTAAGCGTTCTATCTCATCTTTTTAATGCCTAATCTATTCTTAATTTTGCAGTAGGACTAACTGTTACCTTCATTTCTGAACACCTGGGAGGTAATCCTTTTAGGAACATCTCACCTTTGGAAGCTGCAAGCGGTGTTAGAGCGAGCATCCAGAAGTTTCTGGAAACAGAGAAGGCCTTCCTCGAAGTCAGTTACTTTATACTCGCATATGTTTCCGTAAAGTAAATCTGTAAATACCAAAAGTAGCGGAAATTGTATTATCAGAAGATGTTCTCTTCGTACCTCCCAACAGTTTACCGCCTCATCGTGGCTGGGAGGTGTTCCCAGGTGTTGGTGCTGCGACGCATAGCGGTGGAATTCGTCTTCCCTCCAGGGTGTCTCAGGCTGAGGAGGACGGCATTTTCATCAGGGAGCCCAGCTAAGAGTAAATCAATACCAGGATCCATCACTGTCCTGGTACCAAACTAGTCGCATGGTGGCAAATCTGATCCACAAGAGCGGCGACACTGGCGGTGACGACCTGAGGCAGACTTTGGGTAGGCTGACCTCGGGACTCCAGGGAACCACGTTGGCTAAACTAACAAAATTCCAAGAAAGTGGAAGTAATGCTGGGGCTCACTTAATCAGTGAAAATGGGCCATCCAAGTATCCAAGTAAGTAAGATCTATTCGTAAATTATCGGAAGTAATACTTCATTTCCATGAGTTCTATCGTCTTTTTCTTTCAGAAGTTTTTTAGAATCTGAATTTTTATTCTTCCTATATTAGATAGCGCAAACGGAAACTGTTTACGACCAGACGAACATTACTTTTAAATGTCGATGTCCAGTACAATATCGATTCGACAAATCGGATCGATTGAAGATTTCCGTGTGAGTTTCTTCCGATATTTTCATGTGGTGTTAAGACTCCTGCTTGATTTTCTTGTTTCCAGCTTCTATGTTAAGCACAACACCGGTCCCTTAGTTCATAGTATTGGTGATGTTTTCACGGATCTATCGTCGATCATCGCCAAAGGGGGAGAGGTTTCGCTTCCTCTGTCGCCCTCAGCGGCCATTGATCTTCAGATTATGATTCCTGATTTCTACTCCCATTATGTGAAGCTACGTTTTTCTGGAAATTGTCTACAAGTCCGTGAGAACGTCCCATTGGCCGCGTATATGGCGCTGGTCCTGAAAACAGAGAGAAGAGCTATTTTGTTGTACAAAAGTGAAGTGGTGAAGGACAAGAATCCTAGATGGAAGGAGTTCCCAGTTCCACTGTACATCATACAGTTCTACCATCAAGGCGTCCTCCAAATCCACTGTTATAATCAAATTGCAAACAACGTGGACACTTTGATAGGTAAGATTTCCCACTGTTGTAGTAACTTGAATGGGAACTTCTACAGTACTGTTTTCTACACCCTGCTTATTTCAAGGCTTCTGTAGTACTTCTATGGCACAACTGGAAAGAGGCATAGGACCATTAAATTCCTATATGGTAAGATCTCGATGATTTTTCAATGTTCTGCTGCATTATTCTTATCCATAGCAATCTTTTTCCAGCTCATGAACTTTGAAGGTAAACGTATTCACGAAAAAATGAGCATCGATCTGGAAAGTCTGGAATTAGTCCATGGGGAGTCTTTTTTTAGTGCAATCAAAGATGGGTTAGTTAATTTTTGTTTTCCTCTATAAGTTTGACATGTACAACTTTTTGTACTGGAGAAAAATGCAACTTTCATGGTGCAAGAGCTTTACGAATTTTATCACAAATAAGCTTTTCCAGGATCCATGGATTTTCCTGATCCGCAAAAACTATAGCAGATTACCATGTCTTAACTTTTACTTACTGCCGAGCATGAAGCTGAAATATTTGCAAAACCAGGACTCAAGGCCAGATAGAACCGAGATTACTCTTTCCAGAGGCTCATGTATTACGCGCAGCACCACTGAGACCATTGCTTTGCCTTTCTCTCAGCCAGTTTTCTACTTAACGCTGCGAAGAGCAAACACCTGTCAACAGGATTGGGGTCTAGGTTTTGCACGTATCTCCGCATCATTGTGGTTTCACTTCATATCATAGCCTGCCGTGAAGAGTAATAATAGCCAGTGAATAAGGAGTTAACATCACTGCCTGTTGTTTTTTCGTGATATTATGTGAAGTACAACCACAAGGCTGCTGAGATATGAGCAGAACGCGAAACCTCTGTTGAACTACGAATCCGCGTAAGAGTCACTGAGTGTTTGTGTTTTGCTCATATCTCAGCATCCTTGTGGTTGTACCTCATTTCATACCATTCCATAAGAAAAAATGGGCAGTAATTGGCAGGCCAAGTTCTACGTGCCTTAACTTTTTATTTACTGCCTGTTCTTTTTGTTTAGAAGGGTACTATTTGGAACACAACCACAAGGATGCCCGCGTTGAACCCAGCTTAAAAAAAAGAACACGAAAGGAACAAACAAACGCTGAATCAAACCCAAACATTGTGATGTCGACCGCAGTTCCAGCTTAGCTGGGTTTAATGCCGACTTGAGCTCCAAGATAATTTTCTATGACGGGTGATTGTTGAGAGCACATTAAAAACATGGCTAAGGGAAAGGTAAGGCAAGGTCGTCAGAAGGTGTAATGGGTAGCATGTAAGCTCCAGTAAGAGTAATCGCAACTTCAGAGCCCAACTGAGGTTTCGGGTGTATTACCTTACTGACGCGCTCTACGTGGCAAATAAATGTCTATCAACCAACAATTTCTATATCACTGAGTTAATACGCAGATGAGTAATGAGAATAGAGAATGGCCTTCCTATCTCTGCCACGATGGATTGATCTGTGCATTTCGTATAAGCATCGGCATGCGTGGGTGAACTTGGCCAAAAATCTGCAGTTAAATGTCTGTGAGGTTCATATAGAACGGTACTGCCCGCATCTAACATATATCCTCAACGATTACGCCACTAAAGTTTGACAAACTCTACCCTTGCCGTTGCGGCCTCACGCTACGTTGTAGGAACTCTCGCCAAAAACAGTGAAAAAACGGGTTTTACATAGGGGGTATAATGTTAATGTCCTGCGGGCGATCGAAGCCTTTAGGAAGTTATGGTATTCAAAAGACCAAGACTGAGACATTGTTGATGATGACAGCTTGAATACCTCCCAACGGTTACTGCGTCGTCATGGCTGGGAGGTGTTCCTGGGTGTCGGCCTGCGATTTACAGCGGAGGGATTCATCCGTCCAACAGGGTCTCCCAAGCTGAGAAAGAGTCAGGCGTTTCGATGAGGAAATCTAGCTAAGGGTAAACCATCGTATTAAACTAGTCGCATGGTGGCAAACATGGTGGCAAATCTCTCTCTGATCCACAAAGACGGCGACTGTCTATGGTGGCGGGACAGACTTTGACCCGTTTGACCTCCGGACTTCAGGGAACCATAATGGCTAAACCAGCAAAACCCAGAAACGTGGAGATTATGCTGCAACCCGCGCAATCAGTGAGGACAGGGCATCCAAGTATCCAAGTGAGTAAGGCAGGCAGCTCAAGAAACTGGGGCTAATGGGGTTGCGGGTAATGCAAGTGTTAATTAGGAAATAACTGTGAAGGTTTTCAACTCTTTCCCTTCAGTAGTTGTGGAAGTAGAAGTCACCTGATGGTACTCAACTTTTGAAATATCGATCTGGACATTTTTTATAAACTCAATCCTAACTTTTAGAGATAAATTTACTCGTTCGTAATTCGATTTCGGGATATTTTCAGATTTTCTGAAAGTTGTCGTTGCAGTTCATGTTAAGTAGTGCCTTTTAGCATTCACCTTCATCTTACCACTGCAGTAGACCTAACAGCTTCTAATGGCAATCCAAATCAGCCTGATTCGCTCCATTACATCCATCCGCATACACAAAGTCCCTACATGAATGCAATTGTTAGGCTCACGCCGTTGTTCCTTAGTTACATGGCTCACGCACGAGTAGGTGTGTTTCTATGATTAATTGTAACTAAGTATGTTTAATCCCTAACGTTGTTTTCTAGGTGCGCTTGGTTTTGGTGCAAGAACAGGACCACAGTTTGAACTATCACAATGCTTTGCTTTGGTGAGTTTCAAGCCACTTCTGCGTTTCAATTTCGAGTAGAGGTTAAATTCCTGTCTCTTCGCATGATTTCACCGCAACTGTGTAAGATTTTTTTGAGTTCTCAGAGATTCCTGGAGGGCCTTAGGGCTGTTTATTGCATTTACTCAATCACTTTTCTGTTGAGTATTTATAACAAGCTCTTTTGTCTTTAGAACGGTTCCCATAGTGATCCCCAAGTAGATGGCCTGTCAGGATTATTGGACGCTTATCGCCATGCAAGATTGACTGTGCAGCCATTTGCACCAACTGACTTTTCTGAAGTGATCTATCATGTATCAAAGTGAGTCTGACTACAGCATGTTGGAAACATTTTCCCAATGTAAAAACTTTAAGAGATTTGTTTAAACTCGTAGTAAAATCAACATTATTCTTGGTCCTGTTTAACTGTCAAGTAACTTGAGCTGGTACCAATAATGTTCTGTGTTCATGACCGTCGAGCACTAGAATCGCACAAGAAGCCATATACACTCGAGAAACAGAAAGCCTCACATTTTCAGCTATGAACTAGCTGGTAGATAGGCTAAATAAGAGACCAGAATGATGTTGTGGTGAACGCGATAGCTTCCGGAAAGAGTAATAACATGTTCGATTCCCACTGCAGACACCTGCGGTCCGGAATTTTGCAAATGTCTCAGCATCGTTGTGGCTATATTTCACACTTTTTGTTATATGGTTGTTATGTGGTCCTTTATTTTAACAGTCTTTTAATATCCTTCGTTGACATGTTAGGTTGTCGTGATATAGGTTTACTCCTGGCTGATCTCTATAGTGAAGTTGTCGGAACTTATCAGCAGTAAGTACACTTGAGGGTGTAGATTCTCTGTTATGTATTGCAGTTGGACACCAAAAAATGCGATGAGGATAGGCCACTGAGGATTTATTCGTTTCGAAGCCTTAGCACTTTGTTTTCTATTACTTGGATACTTGGATGGCCCGTCTTCACTGGTGATATGGGCGCTAGCATAATTTCCATTTTTGGGGGAGTTTCACTGGTGTAGCCGTTGTGGTTCCCTGGAGTCCCGAAGTCAACCTAACCAAAATCTACCTAGGTCGTCACCACCACGGGCAATCGCCGCCTTTGTGGATCAGGAGATTTGCAACCATGAGACTAGTTGACTAGTTTGATATCAGGATGGTAGTCAATCCTGAAACTGGTTTGCTCTTAGCTAGGCTTCTTGATGGAAAAGTCGGACTCCTTCTCAGCTTGGGAGACCATACCAAAGAGGTGAATCCCCCTGCTGTACATCGCAGCCCGACACCCCGGAACACCTCCCAGTCACGATGAGGCAGTAAACCGTTGGAAGGATGATCTACATTGGAGACATGAAATTGTCAGTTGAATTTTCAGGTTCGCTAAGGCCGAGTCAAGACGCCGTATTGGTCTGTACTTCGTGTTGTTAATTTTAACCGATGGTGGCCTCACTAATCCACGTCGGACAGTTGACGCCATTGTTGATTGTTCCGTGCATCCAATGAGTATTATAGCAGTGGGCATTGGGACGGTGAGGTTACTGTTAATGGTTGAACATAATTTGAACAAAAAATTTGATGAAGAACATTCAGTGAGAGGAATCACTGCTTTATTTATTATATTTTTGACCATTTTTGTTATAGAGTCGTGATTTTGCTAATGTAAAGGCACTAGAGTCGCCAGTTCTCAAACACTCTGATGGCAGGCAGCTTATTAGACAGGTTTGTTCAGCTTTTATTATAAATGCTAATTCTCATATTGTCATGTTTGAGGTAGTCCTTTAATTGAAGTTCAAATATAAGACTTTGTGATTTTCTTGAAGAATTTCCAATTCATCCCGTTCGAAGATCTTGACACCGATGATGCAGTGGCTTTGATACCCCTTCAAATTGCTCAGTGGCATAACTCACAGTCTCATGGAGCCTACCAATAATCATATTCTCACCATTTTTCTTCCTGGTAGCTTATTTTAGCATTTCTACATTTCTTGTTGTTTATCATCTTTCCACTCGTTGCTCTACAGTATCTTACGGGTACAATTCAGACGTTTTTTCTGTTGTTATTTTATAACAGTTGTACATCTACTACGCTATGTGTGCTTTTCGTTTAAGACTTAGAGACTGACGTGAGTTGATTTCGTAGTGAAGTGGACCGACCAGCGTAGAACTGATACTGGCTCATTTTTGTTTTGGTCCTTTGTGTTGTCATACATCGGTTTTTGCTCTGTACAAATGTCCAAATTATCACCTACGTAACACGTAACATTTTACCATGTGTGGACCGGAAGAACTAATCTCTACGCTTAATAATATATAGAAAAAGAACTGTCTTTCGAACGAGTACGTTTGTCAAGTCACAAACTTTTGCTAGTTAGAAAGGAAAAAACAGTGAGAGTGGCACAGTTGGGAAACGAACTAGAATGCCCATACGTCCTTCACTGACTAATTCTTTTTCTTACCAACAGAATACCACAATAACTGTTTGATAATGGGGAAGATAGATATGGTTAGTACGTGTGGTAGGAAGAAGCAGATTGGCTGGTATGAATTGATTTCCACTCAGAGCGGTGGGAACTAAGCGTCGAATAGGTGAGCTAGGCCAGGTAAGAAGTCGGGCGTCGGTCTCTAAGCAGTGGCAGTTACCTCTTTATTGTAAATAATCTCTGCATTTTACAAAGCATTAAATATCATGTCTCAAGATCAATACGTAATGGCGAGATGAAGACAGTTTGGTGTATCTGAATTTTTTGTGCTAAGTTGAATGTTCTTCCGTAATTTGGAAAGAATGTTGATCTTGCCATCCTAACTAAGTTACAGTACCCATCAACCGAATATTACCTATTAGGAAGGAAGCAAAATTTGCTTTTTAACATTACTAGTTTAAAAGAATGATTCATTTTGGATATGCATAATTTAGCAGTTCATAAATCTATTACCACGTTATTGTAATTCTGCCTAGGAACAGTATAAAACAAAACTTGATTGAGTTAGCACCAAGGCCGAAGGAAACGTGGTGAAAGGGGTGGCTTTTTTTCCAGACTTAATAGAGCTGTAGCTCTATATTGTAAAAAGAAAAAAGGAAAATCTCAGATTGTTTGAATGATTTCCTGTCCGACACTCGGCATTACTTTGTTAGCCATTGAGCCAATCAGTGACGTTTCACTGCATCCGCTGTAACAAAGTTATTTTGTGCGCATAATGAATAGAAAGATATTAAGATGAATAGGAGTAAACACCCCCTCTCCTCCTTCTCCTTCTTCCACCTCCCGCCCATTCTCCTCAACAGTATGAAGATTAAGCAGCGTAAAAGTTCATATTCTTACCCAACTAGTGCACTGCCGACAGTATGTGGTAGGTGATAATGTATATATTTCTCGATAGGTAGTGTACTTTCCGGACGTGTTAGAATCGCTGCTAGTGAACGTTGGTACATATCGATTAGCGAACCAGCCTTAAAATTTACTCATTTTGAGGTAAACTTTATACTCTACTTCGATTCGATTTGAATGTTTTTACACGTTCGAAGGGAATGGAATTGATTGTCATTTAATAAGACTAGGCGAAAAAATTGGTTGGGAGCGGCTTTGTGGACAGAAGAATTCATAGGATCGATGTTACCAGGCTCACTAGTGAAATTGAAACTGGCGCGGCGGTTTTCGAACTTACGTTTATGAACGAACGACAAAGAACTCTAGCTTCTTACTAGTTCTGATATCTAGGGAATATCAACTTATTCACTCAATCGCTTTACCTCATAATCGTCATCGTCTACTCCAAATGGATTTAGAATAACTTGGCTAGATTTAAGCCAACCTAAATATACAGTGTTTAACAGTAAACTAAATGCGAAACGGGTTGACAGAGCAGTCATGTTCAGGTCGTCGTATCTGAAAAGAATTAATTATCAAACATTCTTTTAAAATCAAACAAAGTACTCACAAACATATAGGAAGATGTTGAAGAACACCGTCCACAACAAGGTAGCAGTAGACAGCAAATGTGGTCGTCTAGAACAAGATTGCTTTATATTACTGGTCAGAAGTCTCTGTATAACGTTTCTGTTAATAGCTGTATATCATAGTGCTCCTCCCAGCGGCTTACCGCCCAATAGTGGCTGGGAGGTGTTCTTGGGTGCAGGGCTGCAATGTACAGCGGAGGACTCATTCTCCCAGCACGGCCTTCCAACTTGAGAGAGAGTCCGGCGTTCCCATCAGGAATCCCAGCTGATCACATTGTTGTCAGCACGGCCAAAAACTGATATTGCACCTGAGTACAACTAGAGATCTTCTAGATGTTCAATTTTGAGATATCTCAATACAGCATTTACCATTTCCAGAAGAGATCTACGGATGGTATATGCTAGGAGCTGTAGAGAGTACCATATATGGGACCAGGCCGAATTTAATTCTGTTTTCGAGCAAATTCTTGGTACTCTGAGTTACATTATGGATTTGGCTGAAGAACTGAGAGACATTTGGATATCTGGTGTAGTTTTCGAGGCTGGATCTTCTTCGATACACCGGTTATGGAGATAAAATATTTCGTCACCGGTTCTGGCCATAAACAGTTTGTCTTTCTTCCTTCAAAAAGTGGCAGAAGTTTTTACTAGAGTAGTGCTTGAACCCAGTACTCCATAAAGCTAGTACGACACGTTGTGGAGTATTATCACCTGTACATAATGATGTATTGACTAGTATTCTGAAAAATACTTGGCGCTGGTTCACTCTTTAGTAGTATTTGCCATCCATGGTACGAGATATCGTGAACAATGGAAAGCGTAACACTGTCAACACATAACGCCCGTAGCTGGTTGTTGAACTACCGACAGTAATTGCTGGCTCACGAGAGTATTTGGGGGATTCAAAAGATCTAGAGCTAAAATTTTCGAAGGAACTTTGTGTCGAGATGATCGAGATCTCTACAATTTCCCGCTTATGTATGGTAGCCGAAAAACACAAAGATAGATTCAGAAGCGGAATAGTTTCCCGCTGAACGAAATCCTCCTTGTTCAATTCCTTTCGGAACCCGGAAAATGAGAGTTGAGAGAAAAAGGATATGGAAAAACATCTCCTGCCTTCGAAAAAACTGTAATTTCGTATTGGTAGCATAAGAGAATTTGCAATTTGTATGGAGAAATAAGCGTATCCTTAAATACTAATGGTTCCTGTTACAATTCATGAAGTTCGATGTGAGCTGAGATATATTGAACTAACTTGGAAGTGGTCATTATTTCCACACCATATGCATTGTGATCAATAAACGTTTGTAGCTATGGATTAAAAAAACGAAGTAAACACACTTAATGAGGATAAAAAGGACAAAGTCTATGGCGTTGCTCAGTTCCTGAGGGATGCGCGACGTATTCGACATCGTCAAGAGTCCTAGAGATTACTGAATCCATATTTGACCTATAGTCACTTGCAGTGGGTTAGTGACGTGTCAAGCCAGTGCTAACCCAAACGAATGTCTCAGTGTCCTCTGATACCAGTTTGCCGACCCTGGATGGATGGGAGGCTTGGTGAGCTTAGATTTTGAGATCGAACTAGTGGTTGATCCAGTGTATATTGCAGAGCACCTCTAGTTACTGTGCTACGTGCTCCCATCAATGAGAATAAAAGGATAATCGACGAAGCTCTCAGATGTCTATGGTGGGGAACGAACGTGCTATTGTCCTTTCCGGGGAGTAACGCGTTCACCACAACACCATGCGGGTCCTTCGTCTCGCCTGTCTCTCAGCTATTTCTACCGATCTTTTTGCCACAGCAATCACCCGTCAGCGGGGTTGATCTGGGGAGCGCAAATCGGCATAGAACCCAGTTAAGCTATGGCTGTAGTTGAAATCACAATGTTTTAACGTTTTGTTTTCTCTATAGCTGTAGTTGAAATCACAATGTTTAACGTTTTGTTTTCTGCCTTCTATAATTTTCATGGCAGGTTACTAAGCGAAATACAACCACAACGTTGCTGAGATATTCGCAAAACTCCATAGGCACCTGCGGTCCAGAATTTTGCAAATATCTCAGCAACGTTGTGGTTGTATTTCGCTTAGTAACCTACCATGAAAATTATAGAAGACAGAAAACAAAACGTTAAACAAAGCTCTCAGAGTTGATAAATCCCTGAGGGATGCGCTATGCATTTGACTTCATTAAACATCGTTAGAGATGATTGAACGCACATCTGGCCCATAAAGTGACTCGCGATAGCCTACCGATGTATCGAGACAGTGCTACCATCCTCGCAGACAGGTCTGGTACCAATTTACCAACCCCAAAGTGATGGAGGGCTAGGGAGACTGCGGCGTGGGATCGATCCTAAATCTACTAGAGGGCGCCTCTAACCACTGCGTTACATGCGCCCCATTAATGAGGATATGACATCAATTTTGTTGAACCTAACAATGCTGCATCGTGCACTCAGACTACAATCTCGATTATAAGTCAAATTATAGTCGGTTTAAGTGCCTTCTTTGAAATTAAAAGCAATACTTCCACCTGAGTGCTCGCCAATGGGATTGGTATCCAGTCATAACTAAGAATATCGCCCAGCATTCCACGAATGCGAGTCATCTGTAGAAATTGTTATTCGTATAAAAAGTTGTGAAATGATTTAGCAACATGCAACGAACACACATATCCCTCCATCATACTCACTTCTTTCACAAACTTTCCAAAGTGTTGTTCGTCCATCACACCTCGTTCCTTCGTAGTGCTTTTGCTGCGATTGAAAACATCCAATAATTCCAATGATAAATCAAATTAAAGAACTATGCGACTTTTCACGAATACATGGAGGTGAGATATCCTCACTCATAGTTTCGTCGGTGAAGGATCCATGTTTCTACTGATTAGCATGTAGAACATCCAGCAGCGTCTCCTAAGTTGAAGAATCCGGCGTTTCCATCAGGAAACCCAGCTTGTACTAAACCACTACCAGGATCCACTACTGTTCTGGCATCAAATTAGTCGCACGGTGGTAAATCTTGCCTTGATTTACAAAAGCCGGCGACTGCCTGCGCTGACGAAGACCTGGGGCAGACTTTGGCCAGACTAACCTCGCGATTCCAGAGAACCACAAGACCAGCAAAACTCGGGAAAGACGGAAATTATGCTGGGGACCGCACAATCAGTGAAGAAGGACCATTCATGTATCCAAGTAAGTATGTGAAACTTGTTTTTACATCGTTGCTATGCTAGTCAGATTCGATGAAAACCATGCAGTCATCGAAATCTTGTGAATTTCACCTCATCATAATTCGCTGGATGTCCGACCATAGGCTCATATAGTAACATACTATGAAGTCTTGAAAGGATTTTAGTTAGGAAACTTTTGTATTGTGTATTTTTTAAAACATGTATAAATAGTGCACCTGGGTTTGTAGTAGCTTTTTATAAGAAGATTAATCCAAAGAAGTGGCATCCAGTAACGACAATACTTGGGATTAATGTTAGCCGATTCCATCACCTCAAGTTCTTCTCTAGAATGTAGGCATCAAAAGGATGTATTCGTGATGCATCGATACGAGACTATTATGAAATATCTATTAAGTTTTAGCTGATGATTCAGATCATTTTGCTTCCTTTATAGATTGAGCGATCTGGTTAAAGTCTTATTCTAAATTAATAGTCAGTTCCGCGTTTCTGTTAATCCCCATTTAGAATACGAACATCGTCTATGAGACAGTGGTCATAGAAAGTGATAAGGAGACATAAAGATATGACAAACATAAATAAGCAAGTGTAAAGGATAAAGGATAAAGCTCTCAGCGTAATCCCTGAGGGATGCGCCATGCATTCGACTTCATTAAGCATCGTTTGGAGGTGAATGAATACATATCTGGCCTTTGCAATGACTTGCAGTGGTCCACCGATGTATCGAGCAAGTGCTGCTATCCTCCCAGACAAGTCTGGTA